ACACCCTATGAAGCCCAGACTAAAGCCCTTGCAAAGCAAAAAACCGTGTAAAGCCGTGTCGTAACGTCCGACAGAAAATATTTGCGTAGTAGAATGAGGGGCTGGAGCTTCAGATCACGCGAGGTGCCAGAAGCTTGCACGCGGCCCTTGGCTAAAATAGCCTTCCTTCAACTTGGATTTAGGATTTAAGATCTGGGGCTCCAAGGCTTTAGGGCTTCCAGGGTCTGAGGTCTGCGATGTAGGGTCTAAAGTGAACTCCGGAAAGTTGGAACATGGATTTAGGAGGGTTAGTGTTGGAGATTCTCTATGCTTTTGACTTTAGGGCATGAGGATGATGATGCTCCAAGCTCCTGCGGTCGACTGTATGGGCAGGCGCAGCTAGGCGAGGATCGGAATACCACAGCGACAGCACGTTGGCCATACTGGGTTTTACGGTCTAGTGTTGAGGGTCCAGGGTTCCAGCTCTTGTAGGTTATTCAATGTCTAGGTTGTTGGTTTAGGTTTTTTTTGAGGGGGTGGCTCGGTATCTGACTTAGGGTGTTTGTTCTAGCTGAACGCAATGATCCTTGCTGCAGATGCAGTGATACTGTAATATGGAAGTATTCAACAACAAAAGATCATAGCCTGCAAGGGTTCCAGGTGGTACGTTGTACGGCCAGAGGGGCTTGGCTTTGAGTCGGAAAGCGGACACCGGCTTGGCCCACTATTTGCGGAGAACCCCGATTCAGCAATGAACCCCAAACCCCTAAAGCCCTAAACTGCAAACATTTAAAGCCGTAAAATTCCGAATCGAAAAATCCTTAAAGCTCTAAGCCCTTCTGAGGTTCGGGACTTAGATTGAGCTCGGCACGGCAGCTTGTGCCCAATGCAGCACCAAAAACATGTCAAGGGGGAGTACGCTTTGGTTTCTGGCAGCTCTGAGGGTTTGGGTCTTCGGGCTATAGGTCCTTCACAGTTTAGGGTTTAAAGGGTTTCGGGCTTAGGGTTTGGGGTTTTGGTTTAGGGTTTAGGGTTTAGGGGTTTAGGGTTTAAGGGTTTACGGTTTAGGTGGTTTAGGGTTTAGGGCCACCCCTCCCAGAAAACCCCAGGTCTGCCAAGCAGGGGGTCCTGTCTGCCAGGACATCTGCCTCTTCGAGGTAGTGGGTGGTGAAGATGATGGACCTGGGCGTTTCCAAACATCGGGGACCCTAATAAAGTACCCTAAAATAGTAAGATCCGTATGATAATAAGGACCCCAAATTAGGGTAAATAGGGGACCCTAAGATGGTACCCTAAAATAGTAGGATCCTTATTATAAGGAACCCAAAATAAAGTAAATAGGGGGACCTAATATAGTACCCAAAAATAGTAGGATCCTTATGATAAGGACCCCAAAATAAGGTACCTTAAAATAGTAGGATCCTTATTCTAAGGACCCCAAAAAAGATACCCCAACATAGTAGGATCCTTATTCTAAGGACCCCAGAATAAGGTACCCCTTATTTTCGGAAACCCCCACCTCCCAGTTGACCTCATCTTCAGCAGCAGCTGCCACAGCTGGCGCCTGGATGAGGGGGCCTTTTTGAAGGGATCCTCTAAGTGGCTCCTGTAAGAGTTCCTGTAATGGAACCTTTAAAGGGGACCCTATTATAGAACCGTATCAAGGGCCCTTATTGGGGCCTAGGGCCTGGGGCTTAGAAAGGGTGTAGACAGAGGTGCTGGAATTTGAAGTTTGCGTTCAGAACCGGGGCTTAGCGGTGTAGCGTTTCTTACCCCATGGACTCCGCGCGTCTCTCTCGCCTCGCCGACGAAAGGAGGCTCCAAACGGGGGTCCCTACAACAAGGATCTTACTAGATGAAACTTTCATTACAAACGCGCCTTGCTCCACAACTCCACAACCAAACCCAAAATGCATACTTACCACGATTCAACGGGAGCCTTACATCCACTCCCCCAGACCCGAACACAAACCCTATAAACCCTTACGAAATCCCTCTAGCCACCCATGCCACACTATTGTGCAGAGCAACCCCTTATGGAAGCCTCAATATTATCCGCCCTGAACGCACCCTTACACAATACTAACTCTGAGCCCCTAAAGAGTCCTTCATTAAGATTATGAGCCCTGTTAGAAACCCTAAACCCTAAACCCTAAAAGAACCCTGCAGCCCAAAGAAGCATCGACGCCTGGAGGATGGATCCATGCCGCTGGTCGGCTCGTCCAGGAAGACCAGGGGCGTCTCACCGAGCAGCGCCGTGGCGACCTAAGGAGCTCTTAAGATTGGGTTTCGGATTTAGGCGGTTTTAGGGTTTCGGATTTAGGCGGTTTTAGGGTTTCGGATTTAGGCGGTTTCGGGTTTCGGATTTAGGCGGTTTTAGGGTTTAGGGTTTAGGCGGTTTAGGGTTTAGGGTTTAGGCGGTTTAGGGTTTCGGGTTTAGGCGGTTTCGGGTTTCGGGTTTAGGCGGTTTCGGGTTTCGGGTTTAGGCGGTTTCGGGCTTCAGGTTTAGGCGGTTTCGGGTTTCGGGTTAAGGCGGTTTCGGGTTTAGGGTTTCGGGTTTCGCATTTCGGGTTTAGGGTTTCGGGTTTAGGGTTTAGGCGGTTTAGGGTTTAGGGTTTCGGGCTTAGGCGGTTCAGGGTCCAGGGTTTCGGGTTTAGGGTTTCGGGTTTATGCGGTTTAGGGTTTAGGGTTTCGGGTTTAGGTTTCAGGGTACCAAAATAATGGGTCACTGGTTTTTGCATTATATGGCTACTTACCTACCATTTAAGTCACTGGAGCTCTTTCGTTTCTTGATATAATATATAGGGGCCTTGGCAATTCGAACAAGGCTTTGGGGATAAAGGTGCTAAAGTTCACTTTGAGGACTCCACGGGGCCTTCATGATTAGAATAGGGCGCATGCTAGAATAGTGTAAGGTTTATGGTTCAGGGTTTTGGGTTTAGTAGGGACGATAAGGGGACATTGCTACTAAGCATTCAGACCCCTTTAGTAGGGCCAGACGGGTTGGATGCTCGGGAGAAAAGAGGAAGACACAGTACGTTCATAGACAAGCTCAGGCAGAAGCGCTCACTTTTCCTCGAAGCAGAGGGCGTGGTCACTTTCCCATCAAAATGTCCTCACACCCGCGCCTGTAATAAGTCTACCGGAGCTCACTTCATCGTTTTCCTCCGGTCTGTTCCATTGCGACGTCGATAAGATCCTCATTGTATACACCACCCTAGTTGGGACCGCTACAAACCCGCTCTAAAGCCCAACCCAGAAAACCTTACATTTCACCAAAATACCCTTTTACACCCTAAGCTCTTGTAGAACCCTGTTGGGAACCCTTACAAAAATCTAAAAACACCCTTACAGGAGCCCTAAGCCCCTCGGAGGTCCTCATCCTCAAGTCCTAGCTTCTCAGCCGTGTCATCCGCAGCGATGCGCTCGCCATCCACCATGAAACCTTACTTCAGGCTTCCTTTATAAGGATTCCTGCAACCTGCAACCGCTCTTTTTAAGGGTTCCTTTTCAGGGAGGGTTTACAGATTACAGGGTTATAGTATGCCAAAAACGGTCAAAGGTTAGCATCTACTTCCTCTACCGTCAAGAAGCGCACTTGGGATGCCTGCAGACCAAGGCGGCTGCAGTATGCATCCATGAGCTTGCGCAAAGGCGTCGTCTTCTTGATCTTGAACTGCACCTGTGGTATTGTACTTCACGCGGCTTTGGCGCAGCCGAACTTGAAGAAACCCGCTCCAGCGGAGAAACGTATTCTGAGTGTTTTTGAACTTCATTAGTGCTCCCGGCACAGTGCCGTACTCATTCTGCCGGTTCTTGCTGAATGCCCTGCCAGTCCCGCACGGGGCACGACTCGGCTTCCCGCCACAATCTCGTGAATTGAATTCGGGCTCATCTCGCAAGTGTACGGCCATGTTCATGCAGTCAAGAATCGTGCTTTTTCCATGGACAGGGGTGGGGGGGAATCGTGCTCCTTCTATCGTGCGGTGCGCATTTTGGACTCATGGAGTGGTCTTGGGATGTCTTGGGGTCAGGACTGCTCCCCTGAAGTGTTCTGGGGCAGGTAGAATGTTGAGCTTGGGCTGGTAAATGCTCCGTCACTTTTTGGGGTCTACACTCAATAAACGGCACAAGGTTTAGAAACCCCACCTCGCTCCCCTGCTGATCCTTGACCTTGAGCTGGATGTGCTGAGGTGCATCTCCGCCTTCTGCCATCGCTGTCACTGGAAGTCTTCGGTTGGTCGCAACGAGTTCGTCTCTTGAGCAAAATCTCGCCGGGTCAGGATGCGGTCATGAAGAAGCTAGAGAACCAAGCTCTTGCTCCAACAGCTCGTGGCAAACTGCGATCGCCAAAGGAGGTGCTGCATGGATTTCCCGTACACAAAAACATCACCTTACACCTTTGCATGCCAGTCAAAAACTACGCCGAGGCAGTTGTTACAGTCCAAACGAACAGAACACCTACAGAGTACAGAGCCTGCAACGCCTCTAAACCCCAACCCTAAACCCTCTCTCCTAAAAAACCCCTGAACCCCTAGTGCATCCCCAAAGCCATAAACCCCAAACCACCGGAAAGCCGAGCCACCCAGAGTCGGCGCTTCTGCCCTCCCGACAGCGAGGTACACAACGCGTCGACTTTCTCGGGGATGCCTGGGTTCAGGGCTTGGTGGTTCTAGCGGTTTCAGCAGGAGTTAGGGCTTAGGGTCTGGGTTTCGGGGTTTAGGCTGTTTCTGTAGCTCTTGTGTTGCAGGGATTCAGGGTTTATAGGGGCAAGAGTCGGCAAGAGTGAGTCATCACTTATCCGACTTCGATGGTTTGATGGCTTGACATTCAAGGCTGCAGGCTCCGTGCTCTGAGGCTTCTACTGGATGTGCTGTGCAAGGTCTGCTTTGCTCACTTCAACCCCACGATCCGATGATTGTAGGTTCGTCGCTGCTGGCAGAACATCCTGCGTCCAATGACTGGTGGCGACATGGCCTATGATTCCCGGCCCACCCAGAACAATCCACAACGTCCAACCGCTATTCCTCCAACATCTGCTCCAGCTGACTCCATTCCTCAGGGGTTTTGGTGCTAAGGGATGAGCCCTACAGTAAGCTCTAAACCCTAAGCCCTCGACCCAGGGTGGATGATTGCAGGAGGAGCTGCCCAAGGCCACCAGCACCTCCATCACTTTCGCCCCTTGCAGCTGGGAGCTGATGCCTCTGAGGCCAGCGAAGAACCTCAGCTGAACTGGGATAATCAAAGGGGGTCTGTACGGGTTCTATGAAGCTTGCTATGAGGGTACTACACAGTATAGGGGTTACGGATACTATGAGGACTTGATCAGGGTTTCTACAACGGCTCCCAAAAAGGCACAGGAGTTTTACCATAAGGGCGTCTTCTGCCGGCCTTGGCAACTGAGGCCCCTGACACCGAAGTCTGGGTAGCTGCAAGAACAGGGTGCATGTTGAAGGGCTGTCTCAACCCGGGCTGGGGCCGATACGGAGCCTCACATCATGGCTTAAGCCCCTTGCCCTTTGCTGCTACAGCGACTGCCCGTGTCTCCAAGACACTCTTCACTGTTCAGCAGTCTCGGGACCAACCCCCTTCGATTCTGCCCTACTCATACACGACCATGTCCACGAATCCTACCACAAAGCTCCATGTTATACCGACGTAGAATATTTACTTATAGGCAATAAGACCCCTGCATAGGAGCCCATGTTAAGGGGTCTAAGTGTACACTCTTTCGGTACATGGAGGCTTGGGACTCTCAGCCCCGAAGCCGCAACGAGGCTCAAAGGATTGGAGAAGCCAAAGGGGCTGCAGATGCTGGCGCACCGTGTAAACGTCGTAGAGCGGGTTGTCCTGCAAGCTCTCTCCGGCCTCCCTATCCGATCAAGGTTAGTATGTATATTACCTGGACCTCCCAACTATACCCTCTATAGTACACCACGATTAAGGACCTCAAGGGCTCTATTAAAGGGAACTTGAGGGGTCCTGGTCGGTTGCTTCCAAACCTGACCTCCCAAACCTCTGAAAAGCACCAAACGTTTGAGAACCCCCCTCCTGGACAAGTTTCTCAAATTCATGCACGGTCCTGGGGACATATGCTTAGCTGCCTCCGCACATCTTCGATGCGCGTGTGCACATCGTAGCCGTTAACAGAAGCGCTGCCGCTTGTCATCGGAATCAATCCAACCACGCCTAAGGCGAAGTTCATTAAGTTCAGCAGCCTGCGTTTCGCGTTGAGTCTTGGAGGTCGGGGTTCACGTCTTAAGGCCCATGGTCTTGATTGTACAAGCTGGCGCCATGTGGCCAAGTGCAGGAAACCACAAACCTTATAGCAGTCGACGCATCTGCAAACTCCAAACTACCAATCGCACCTTCAACAAGAGCAACAAACAACCAATTTTTAAACGCTGCCATGTGGGGAAGATCTTCTCTGCGCAATCTGCAACGAAATTCTGCACCTAAAACTCACATTGCCCAAGTGCAGTTCATGCATGTGGTCTTCCCGGCGCCGTTGTGTCCCAGGAGTGCGAAGATCTCCTCCCACGCAAATCCGTTCTGGTTCAAGATGGGAAGCCCTCGATCCAGAATCCAAACGTAGGAACTGAGTCACGCAAGACTGCGGAATTGAACGATAAACTGATGTAAGCTTGCAAGGCGCCTACAGACCCTCAACAAGAAAACGCTCAACAGCCTTCAACCCCACGGCCTGCACCCTAATGCAGGGGCCTAACAATGAGAACAGGGTTTTGGGGGTTTCTTATTACCCCCAAACCCTATTCTAAAAGAAAGGCCCCTACATTACATGGGTTCATCGCTTGCTGGATGCTAGGGTTGGTTGCTATGGGGTTGTCCGAGCTGCTGACGCATAAGGTCTTGCGCTCAAAGGGAACGGTCTGTCTGAAAGCCAGTGGAGCATGCGGAAACAGCTCTTACGCTTACGCAACTAGCCGCGCTCACATCTTAAACGTCTTTCAAAAAATCGTTGTGTAATCCCCTTTTTTGCACAGGCTTGCGTGAATCTCGCCTGGACAATCCCCTAAACCCTAAACCCTAAACCCGAGGTGTATGGGGCATGGTGTAAATTACCCTATTCAGCTGACATGAACAGCCTCAACACCCAGGCCCAGCTGTCGGTAGGCCAACGCAGGCTCCTCATTCCTCTGAGACCCCAACCCTGGGGCTCCAAATAGCCCAATGTAGGTACTATTTACAGACTTTAGACCCCAAAGTAGGTACTATTTGTATACTTGGAGCCCTGGGGCAAGTCCAGATCTTTAAATTTACGGAACTACCCAGGCGCCTGATACGCGCGCCCCTAAACCCTAAACGCGCCCTCCCAGATCTAGACGTAAGACCAGATGCACTTCTGGCTGAAGCGAAGGCAAAGGTTGACAACTCTGACTCGAGGTTAATTGGTTTAGGGTTGAGAGTTTGGGTGTTTTGGGGGGTTTAGGGTTTAGGGTTTAGCGGGTTTAGGGCTTATAGGGTTTAGGGATTTTTTTGAATCATTATCTAAGCCATAAGCCCTTTTTGGTGCCCCTCGCTCCCCACGGCGGATATCGAGGTCCATCCCATCCACCGCCACCTTGCCACCTTTGAAGACCTCAGGGGTGTGGAGACGAATGTAGGGTCCTTAATGGTTTGAATAGGGTTTTGGGGTTCCTTTTAAGGGTTCCTTTAAGGGATACTATAATGGCTGCTACAAGTGTAGGGGCCTTAATAATTAGAGTAGGGTTTTGGGGTTCATTCTACTATAATGAAAATAGTATAGGTGATTATTAAGGCCCGATAGTAGGGTTAACAATATAGGAAGTACAAAGGTTTTAGGGCATGCTGGGGCCTGACTTACGTTGCACGTCAATGCATGAAATCACCTTGCTGGCTGTACCTTTGGACGCATTCCATGGCCTTGCAACACACACACACACACAGACACACAACGTCTTTGGATACTAGCTCATGAAAGTTAACTGCCTTTCACAGGCCCTAAACCCGAACCCTTAGTGCCCCATCCCCATTCGTCCGGTCCATGGAACGAATGAGTAGCCAGAATAGGGCTTTGGATGCTGAGAGGGACGATCAGGAATTAACATATACATCTACGTATCTATCTATCTACCTATCTAAGTATATAGATAAACAAATTAATTTGCAAATAACAAACAAATGCATGTGTGTAGTATATATATATATATATGTATAGACATACTGACTCATTTCTTTCATTTAGCTGCGACCCCTCGGGCGCGCCTTGCGCATGTCCTTGATGGACATGGCCAACTCTTCGTGGCCGGATTCGAGGCCGTCTTCCTGCAACCTGGGTGGTGTTGAGGGTCTGAAGGGCTTGGGCTCTATACTATACTTTACTACACTATACTTTACACTATACTTTACTGCATGCTATACTATACTAGGCTAGACTCCTCTAGACTAGACTATATTATTTTTGTATACTATGCTTTACTATACTATACTATCCTAAGCGGTAGAAAACTATACAATACTACGTGTAGTACACTATACCATACTATATCATACCATATGCTATACTATAGCTATAGATTTCTATACCATACTATGTAACACTGTCCTATACTATACCATGCGCTTCAGGGCTACGGCTTAGACTCCCAGCAGCAGGTTACGGCTTCGGGGTCTAGGGTTTAGGGTTACGGCCTAGGGTTTCGAATGTAGGGGAACTTCGGAAAATGTGGAGCCGGTGCACCAATCTACGCGGATGTCTGTGTGTGTGTGGGTTTAAGCGTTAAAAATGTGTGTGCGTGTGTGTGTCTAAAGTTGTATGGTGTTGTGTATCATCTGGGTATGTGTATGTATGTATGTATGTATGTATGTATGTATGTATGTAGGTATCTCGATATGAGAACCTACTATCAGAACACAAGACTACGTTTCGCACTATTTTACCACTGACAGGCAGTTGAGCGGTGAGTGGACAGGGAAGTGGGCAAATGTGAATTCCTCAGCCTGCGAAGCTCATGTGCAAAAAGCGATGTGCCTTCCAAACTTTGAGCCTAAAGCCCTACAGTACAGGGGCCTTAGTATTTAGAAACGGGTCTTGGGGGACCTCATACTAGAATACAGGACTGAAAAATCCGACCTGTATATGAACCGAAAACCTGGGAAACATCGGAAACAAGAGACAGACCCGCCCGCCGCCGCGATGGGAACATGAAGGCAGGGTCAAAGCAGAAGAAGCACGGCTTGGCTTGCCCATACTCGCCTTGCCAAACCTGGCAAGGGCTTTCGTCAGTTATTCCAACTGATGGGCTCGTTTCGAAGTTAGAGTTTATACGATGTGAACCTCGATTTCCATCTAAGGCTTGAGCTTCGACTTGGGCTTGACGACTCGCAGCTAGCACACCCACAAACCTCGATGATGCCCGGGGCGAAACACTCCGAGCATAAACCATTGAAAGGACCACGTGAAGGAATGGCAGAGGCTCTCCCATTCCGGCAGGTGTTGATTCTAAACTCCCACTTGCGAATGCCAACAGACCAGGACCAGAGTCGTACACCCAACATTGGATCCTCGCAATCGACTTTCTTTGGACGACAGCCTCCCTTCAAAGACCCTTCTATACGATTCCATCCGAGATGCGAGCGAATCTGGGAACCCCAGCTATTGAGTTTTTTTTTTTGGGGGGGGGGAGTGGTTCTTGGCGACTGGTACTACAGGTATGACTTTCGTTTGCGCCTGCGTTTCGATTGTCATCGTTGGAAGCTGTTTCTGTGTTGATCTTCAACTAGCCGTCTTACAATGCGACTATTGCTGCTGCTGCTGCTGCTGCTGCTGCTCATAGCCTGTCGCGGTCTGATGATTCATAAGTATTGGCAACCGCGATGTGGTTAGCCCTAGTTGAACTAGTTTCGTCACTACGCATTTCTGTCCTTCCGTACACCGATCGGGCAGAAACGAATCCATCCATTCCCAAACTCCTTCCCTCAGCGAATAACACTCCCTAAACCCTAAACCCTAAACCCTAATTATGCGAGTCTCAGAAGGGTAGGTCTCATTCCCAAACCTTCCGGGCTTAGGGGCCTGAGCGAGGTTTTAGGGTGTCATAAGCTGATCGACTATATAGGCCTAAGTAATTACTAATATATTTTGGGGCGTGGTTACTCATGAGTAAAATATGCACCAAAACCGTATTCTAATTACTGAGGCCCTATATTAAGCCCAGTTGAGCCAGTATAGGACCTTGTGGAATGCAGACGAAACCCCTAGTTTCTACACGCAACCCTCAAGCAGCCTCCTAATTCCAAGCCTAAAGCCCCCTTGCGCCTGTTCCAACCACCAGGCTACGACGGCATAGAGCACCACGTCTACCAGCATGAGCAACCTCGAGAACGCTCAGGAGTGGGGTTCAAAGGATCTCGAATTCCAGGGTCGTCTCTGTTTGGACAAGTTCTCATGGCTTTGGCCTTTCAGGAGGGTGTGAGGGTGTTGCGTCGGGAAGGCTCAACTATCGGTTCGGGAAGGACAGGTTTGGAGCGCGGGAGCACTGCAAGGATTCACGGGTGAGCGGGGACCAGTTCGAGCAAATCACGTGTTGCTGCAGCAGTGGTTTGCTGAAGGACGTCCCCGGAACCTGCGGTTCTGTAGTACTGCAGTAAACAAGCCACCTCAGGCCCCTCAAAGAAGCAGAACCCTAACATAAAACGTTTAGGTCCCAAAAGCCCCTAAGCCGAAATCAACCTACTGTAGGCCTTGATAATTAGAACAGGTTTTTGGGGCCCATGATACTATAATTATAATGAGCAACTATAGGAAATTATTTAGGTCCCTATAACTGACTACAGGAGGCCGAGGCGCATCGCCTCTCCCGCAGAGAAGATCTCAATGGGAGCAGGGCAGGGGTCCGGATAGGTCGCTGCGGGGCAGAGCCTCAGCGACACCGTGGGTTCAGGGTTTTGGGCCCAGCCTGGGTTCGGGGAGTTGAGGGTTCAGGGATGTTTAGGTTGTTTACGATTTAGGGGTCGGGGCCGTTCTGGCTTTTGATTGACGGTGGGAGGTGCGTGGCAATTCACACTTTCAGGTACTGACAGTGCTAGCTTCAGTTGAAGCCCCAAACCCGCCAAAACTCTCCGTACGGCCTTTCCCTGGTAACCCTACCCATGGGCCCCATAGTAGTTCCTTTTTGGGGTTCATATTTAGAATCCTATAATAAGGTAATCCGAAAAAGGAACTACTATGGGGCCTAGGGGTAAACTCCAAGCTTAAAGCGCTCTGGGCGGTTCAAGGCTGTAGGCTTTCAGATTTCCGCATCCTCAAGCCCCTGAACCGCCTGGCCTTCCACAGACCTGCTAAACCGTTTGTGCAGAAAATATCAGCCCAGACTATTCGTGATATTAGTGTTTACACTTTCAGCCTATGGGCAAATTTTATGGTGGTCTGACTGAGGGGCCCAAGCAAAAAAAACGCGCTTCAAAACAACATCTGCCCTCAGAAATCCCAGATGAGCCGCAGAACACACAATCAGCCTTCCGTGTCGAGAAACCCAGGGTTCACTCCCTGTCCCCCCTTCAGTGAGCACTTAAGGGTTCTGGTTCCCTTTTCAGGATTAGGGCCGTTAGGTTTAAGTTTACCTGGGAACCCAGACCGACTCTTGTGATGGCTTTCCTGGGCAAGATAGAATGCAAGAAGCTCGGTGGCAAATAGGGAGCGCATGGTGAGGCCCTTGGTGCAGCCCTCCGCGTCGCAGTAGTAGAGTGCCTCGCCCGATGGCAGCCGTGATATCAGCTTATCGAAGTCAGTGCCGTAACAATAGTCCATAGACTCCATAGACTACTGTAGGCCTAAAGGTCATGTCTAGGTATTCGACCAGCCAGCTTGCGAGCTACAGTGCTGGCAGCACTGCGTACGCACGACTAAGTGGAGCGACTTTGGGACGAAGGTTCAGCACAGAAGAACTCTCACCAAGAAGAGGGCAGATGGCTTGACGTGACGTGGCACACCAGCAGATACCACCGAGATGACTTCATGGCCATGTGGCAGTTCAAGCCAGGATTGAGTCTTTGGGGCTTGGAGCCATAAGGCTTCTCGGGTTTTGGGACGGGACCCTAAACCCTACACGCTATAAGCCCCATAGGGCTTGGGGTTCAGGGACTCTTCAGCTTTCATGTGGGAGAGGGGGTTTCGACGCTCTACGCGAGCGAGAGCCCCACCGAAACCCTTAAAACATCAGACCCTAACCCCCCCAGGCCTCATTCCAAGAGACACCGGCGAAGTAGAACCTAAACGCCAGAAAATGCTGTTACTAGCCCGGTTTTTCATAGAACCCCTACAGAAGCCTCAAAGACACCCCTAAAACCCCAATGCCTCATTCCAAAAGAGGCCGGCGAAGCCATTGAAGACGTTGACGCTGGGGAGGAGTCCCGCGAGGTACCACAAGATCTTCGGTGCACCTGGCTTCGGGTTTGGGGTTTAGGGTTTAGGTTTTTGTTTTGACACCTTTTTCCAGCTGCATCGTTTTTTTTTCCCTCTCGCATTGTTGGGAACTATGCTCACGGCGAGGTCTGCTTTGGAAGTTACATAGGGTGCATGCTCACTGCATCGGGTTTAGGGTTTAGGGTTCAGAGGTTTAGGGGTTGTTTAAGGGGTTGTAAACAGCTTTGCTTGTGTTGTTAAGGGGGTTAAAGGTGTAGGGGCTGCAGGCGAAGGTGTGGGTTTTTACAGTTGCGGAGCCAATCCCTGGAAAAGGCAGTCTAAGACGAAAAACGGCCCCTGGGGGTTTCGGAGTTTCGCGTCGGACCCTGGTTGCACCCCTCGTTCAAGGTCCCAAAGGCTCCATGTACCTTTATAGTAGATACTTAGGCCTTAAAGGGGTCCCTATATTGGTACTTTAAGGCTTAAGCATCTACTATATGGGTTCATGGAGCCTTAGGGGGTGTAGGGTACCCGTCAAGACACGTGAAGCCTGGTCACAGAAATGCGGCTGACATCCGCCTAATCGAGAACACCTGCAATCACTATCATTCCTAAATCTTCAAGGAACCCCAAACCCCAAACCCCTTAGCCCTAAACCCCAAACCCCTTAGCC